CCAAGAGTTGGCGGTGGGTGGTGATGACTAGCTGCCTTCCCTCTAGTCTTACACTGCTAAATTAGGGACGGCTAGCGCAGATAGCCCTCGTGTAGCTTTGCGCGAAATTCCAAAACAAACAAACAATCTTTTGGAACAGGAGGAAAGCACAAGAGTTAAAATAAAGGATCAAGTGTATGAATACTTTTACAGCAGTGTGTAAATCATGCAACAGTAATGTACAGCAGTCAGATCTTCCTCATTATATAGGACCGATTTAGATTGCCAATAGAAAAGATATAAGCCTCAACATTTAAACGTTGTAGAAAATCTCAAAACAATTAAGTATAGTAAGTTATAAACAACATACCAAACTCCATTCTGTCTTTGGCATTCCGCTTTAAAAGTCTCAGAAGTAAATCTGTCAGATTTGAAGAAGTCCAAGATGGAATTCTGGCAAAAAAAACAACATAATATGTATATTAAGCTAGAATAAAAAGAAACCTGGGAAGAAATAAAAACCATTTTAACTTTATTACAATTTTATGATAAGAAACTAATAGATTTGGTTTGGTTTGAAATTCACACAAAGCTACATGTGGGCTATCTGTGTTAGCCATTTAGCCGTGAAAGACTAGTTAGAAGGCAGTTGGTCATCACCACCCACTGCCAACTCTTCGGCTATTCTTTTGCCAACGAATAATTGGATTGACAGTTACATTATAACACCCCCATGGCTGAAAGGGCCAGATGTTTGATGGGGCAAGGAATCGAACCCACGACCCTCAGGTTGTGACTGAAGTGCCCTAACCACCTAGCCATGCCGAGCCAAATATATATATATATATTGACTGCGTAGTTTTTCTTACAATGGACTAACTATGATCTGCTCACCACTGGTATCCAAACCTGGATTCTAGCATTGAAGTATGCAGACATACTGCTGTGCCACTGGGGGGGGGGGGGCAATCTAATCGAGAAAACATTATTCGCATCCTATGTGACGCTTAAAATGTTATCTAAGACACATTTTTCATGAATGGAAAAACAGTCTGTAGTCTGACTTACAACTTTCTTCCATATGGACCAAAACATAGGGCTTTTTTAACACTTGTAAAACTACTTTTCTTCATTTTCTCAGAGCAAAAACATCTTATTTAACTGAAATTTACAATACACTAATGACATCTCAAATAATTCAGTTTTGAAATTACTGAATCTTAAATGTTAAAGACACACTAGCCAAGACACACAAAATATTTGTGGTAGTTTTCATGCCCTTCACTTGAATTTTCTTTATTCTATTATTTTCTTCCACACCATTTAAGCTACGCTTTCATGCAGCCATTATGTGTTTGATCTATAAATCCTGGTCTAATTTGATAAATTTTACATGGTTAGACAAACAAGCTCATGTAGACATAACTTGATTCAGTAAAACTACATGTATGTAATTTAATTAATAAAACTACACAAAGTGAACAATAAAGTAACAGTTTTTTTTTACAATAGTGTACAGAGTATGAAACAGTCAAGAGAGTTCAGTATATGACATGGTTTTAAGAGTTGAAACAAAGAAACTCATAAAAACAAAGAATAAAACCAATAGTAAAGAAAAAAGTAGCTAAAAAAGGTGCTTATAGCAGTCTATGGAACAAACCAAAGCTAAATTACTGCAAAGTAAAGTAAATTTAAAGTTGTAATAAAGGCAAACTTAGCTGAATACACAGAAATGTCTGAATGCATGTTCACAAAATGATAAGCACAAAGTTTTGAACAAACTACACATTCGTATTTTGGAACTAAATAAGTTGAGAAAGCCCATAGAAATTGTATTTAGTGTAATGTTAATTTATTTAGGATATTAAATGCGATTAAGTGTTTTTTGTGTGAAATACTTTGCAAATAAAAAAACTAAATTTGAAATCCAAGCTAGTCATGGCATGATGACAAAGACATTGTGCCATTATGTACCATTCTCATTGTTTTGAAAAACCAATGTGCAATCCGGACTCTTCAGCCAAAGGCCTTTCTAACAATATGAGATTTGTAGCGTTTGATCAAACAATTTGCGAGAAAAGTTACAAATAGACAAACGCAAGCATATTATTTATATAGATAGAATCCTGACTTCCTCTACCTCTTGAGGCTAGTCATTAGGGTTAAAGGTATTCTACTCATAGATCGAACCCAGAATTCCTGTACCAATTGAGGCCAGCCATTAGGCTTAACTAAAATTTGATAACTGAAATGGTTGTGGGGGGGGCATGAAACTTATAGCCTGAGGGAATAGATATAGTCCAGGGATTCAGGAATCAAGCCTTTTTTCTACACTTTATTACATTACACTTTATTGAGAAGTGGGGCGGGGCACAAACATTTGCTCAGCATTATTATTTTAGACTGTGACAAATATTATTTTAGTAACTTTAGTATTAAATATCTTACACTCAGATCTACGTGATTTTAACAAAAATTCAAGCTAAACCAATCATATAAATTAAAGATTCCTACTTTGGAAACAGACTGGCATTTTTCTCATACAACTGTTTTAAAGCTTGAGGTGTCTGGGCCTGGAAAAAACAAAGTAATCAGTATTAACCAAGAAACAATGTTTTTCTATTAAACAACAATAGTAAAACTGCTAAAGATTTTTTAAAACTAACTAATGTATCAGTCATACTGTTACAAATTGCATACAGACATAAACTCTCCGTTGAATTTAGTATAATCCTTTGATTACATTAATTGAAGAAATGTCTAGGACTGAGAATCTTCTGTAAACAGGTGGGGGAGATATGACAGAACTTCACAGAAAGATTCACCTGTTCATCATCTATAAAGGTATCATTTCTCTGTAAGGAGGAGGGGGGATATTACAGAACTTCACAGAGAGATTAACCTGTTCATTATCTATAAAGGTATCATTTCTCTGTAAGGAGGAGTTATTACAGAACTTCACAGAGAGATTAACCCGTTCATTATCTATAAAGGTATCATTTCTCTGTAAGGAGGAGGGGGGGGGATATTACAGAACCTCACAGAGAGGTTAACCTGTTCATTATCTATAAAGGTGTCATTTCTCTAAATAATGACAGTGCAACCAAATGTATATACACCAGATAAGTGAATACTGACTGAATTTATATTTTTTACTGACATTCCAACAATAATTTGAACACTTGAAAGATTACTAGTGAACTATTTTTCTTGTAATAGTTGTGTGTATATATATCTGTCTACTTACAACGATCTAGATACAAAAAGGACCATCAGGTCCTTCAGGACTATCCTTGTGCACCCTTGAGAAAAGAAAGTACTTAAATCCACCCTTTCTTTTTAATGAAATAATCAACTTTCCTCATCAAGTCTTATAAAGTGCTCGCCTCCACTACCACTGACAGCAATTCATTCCATGAGCCAACCATCCCAATAGAAAATAAAACTGCCTTAACTCAAACCTAACCAGCCTTTTTCCAAATCAAACTTGTGTCCTTTCATCCTAATAACTGCAGAATACAGCACAAAAAAACCAAAGGCCATTATCTGTTTGATATCCAGGATAATCTTGTAAACTTCAATACTTCATTAAGATGCCTCTTCCCCTTCTTTCCTCGAGGTAAAATAAGTTAAGAGGTCTTAACCTTTCCCTGTAAAATAACTTTTCCATCCTCAGAAATATACTAGTGGTTTTCCTTTGAACCCTATCCAATACTTTCACATTCATTCTTAGATGACGGTACCAAAATGTGCAGGGTATTCCAAGTGAGGCCTAACCAGTGATTTGTACAGAGAGAATTACTTCTTTTGACTACAAGTAAACCCTAAAATACTGTTAGTTTAACTACCAACAAAACACTGACTTCAAGATTTCAGTGACTTATACACTACTATGTCCAAATCATTTTGTTACTACTGACTGTGTTCTCATCGATATAAAGCATGCGATTAAAGTAATGTTAAACCTGATGCATTACCTTACACTTACTGTAATTAAAGGTCATTTACCAAATATCTGTTCAACTTACCAACTGATCCAAATCATTCTGTAATACATCAGTATCCTCAATACAACTATAAATGTCTAACGGTGTGACATCATCAGTAAACATTACATTTCTATCGTTATCATTATATAGTTCAAGAGCATCAGTGTAGAGGGCTCCAAATTATAATACATTTTAAATTTTCTTCTTCGTTTTGGGAAATCTTTAACCTTGGCTCTTACAGTTACCAGTTTTATTGATACAATCTTAATTTTTCACTCCTCATATCTCTCAAATAATTAGGAACAATTAACCTCATTTAATTAGATGAAGAAGGATGGAAGGAAAACAAAGATATAGATGAGGAGACAATGTGGGCTGGTAATGATTAGCAGGCAATTTTAAAATACAACGTATTCCTAATGCTACGTCGGTTCTACAATAAATGCTATAAATAGGGTTGTGGATCACACCTTCAAATATTTTGAGTTGTAACACACAAACTGTTCATCTGATGCAAACGTGTTACACACTGCATTACAAACGCAACTTTCATTTGCCATTGGCTTCACATAATTTGCCAATGATTTCCCTCACCCAATTAAGCCCAATGATCTCCCCACTTAATTCACATCAGTAAGGTAGTAAATATTTAAAGGACTTCCAAACTGATTTCTTTTTCATTTAAACTCATCCTTTGAGGGATTCCTCTAAGTTACTCTACCAAATTTCACTGAAACTGCTTTAGGAAATTCCTCATAAAACCCATAAAGACAGACAACTCTGCTTTATATATTTATCTCCAAGTACAATATCACTAATTTTGTATATGGAAAACAGTCCTTAAATTTCACATAAGATGATTCATTAAGCATGATACAATTTTTTAATATTACAAGCGTTGCAACTAATGTAATTGTATTGTGTTCACATTGATCCTATACTGAAATAAGTAAAAATCAGTCACTTTTTGATTGCATCAAAACAAGTATTTTATTATGAAATATTTGAAACTGAGTACCTGGTGGTTACTTGTGTTTTATGTGTCTTTAGGCACCCGAGGTAATCATGTCTTTACAGTATGATGCTAAGGCTGACTTGTGGAGCATTGGAACGATTGTGTATCAGTGTTTGACTGGAAAAGCACCATTTCAGGTGAGAAGTATAACTGTAACATAAATGTCATCGAGTAAGTTACCAATTTTGTGCAAACATTTTGTAGAATTAGATAAATCTGTTTCTACCAGAAATTATATGCATTGAAATAATTTTTGATGCCTAACTTATGAATACTTACATTAGAAAATTTCAGCTAAGTTTGCTATACTTGAAATTATATAAAATGTTTCTAGACAGATCCAATGCTACCACAGAAGTTTCTGTTCAAGTATTTTATCGTATAAGTATTGTAGTTTATTAAACAAACTGATCATTATACTTTTTACTCGGACATGAAGTGTATTTTATGAATTATAAAGGTTGTTTTTGTTTGAGATGTTTTAAACACACAGTTTGGACCTGCTTTTATTATGAAATATTGGAAACTGTGTGCTTGATGTTGAAGTATGGTTATGTTTCATTCATGTCTTTAAGAACTGGGCATTCTGTATAATTATTTGTTTTTTGGTGATTGTAAGGACTATCTAATTTTTAAAAACATGAGTGAAACACGACCACATGTCACCATTAAGTACACAGTTACAGGCTTTTGGTACCGTTTACTTTCATAATGAACTAAAAATGCTGATGTAATGTACTTAATGAATGAAGCCATCTATGTTTATAAGATGCTCCACCGTGCTGCCATTATTCCATGATTTCAAACAACAGTAAAACAATCTGGAAATACCACCAACAACAAGCCGAAAATAAGTAAATTATGAACTTGAGGGTAACTGAATCTCTGCTAATTAAATGAGTAACAAATTTATCAGTGAGGATAGAAAAACAACATAACACAAACGTTTGACTGTAAGAAGTTAGACTAGATTATGATCTTAATTCTTAAGCATTAATACTACCAGAGAAACCAGCCTCAATCACATTCAGTGCAGTAATATGCAGTGTTGAGAAATCACAATCGAGGACCCCTCCTTCCCCTTTCCAAGAAATTTTCAGCAAAATGTCACGAATTACTTTTTTTTTTAAATTTTTGTGGTGTTTCTTACAATACATTTTCATAATTACGTTTAGTATTAATATTATGACCAATTAACAAATTTATAACAAAGTGCATATATAGATAGGTAAATAACTAGATAGACAGTTTTGGAAAAGACCAACAATTTCACTCACTACATTGATTTTCTTTAGTTGATTCATCCTCCTTAATGCTGTGATTTTCTTATATAACTGATATCTTTGCAAGTATCAGACAGACAGACCAATAATAGCAGCAGATTTGCTTGGGACTACTGACTTTTTGTGACAGTGAGAATTTCTCTTTAAGAGTGAAATAAAAAGACCAAATGACTTTCTTTACAGGATGACGAAAAACCTTTATTGTACTGATAAATTGGAATCACTGATACAGCTCGCGTACCCTTGTTGAAGATGGGACAGTTCTCTTGCACTGATGGTTGGTGTTCAACTTTCCAAGTTCTCTTGCACTGATGGTTGGTGTTCAACTTTCCAATCCTCACTGTCTACAAAGCTAAACACTCAAATCTTCAAAGTAGCATCTACTGATCATCTGGTGAAAGAACTGATCCAAGAGAACACACTTGAATCTAGAATGTAAACTCACTTTCTTTGTCCAGTGAACAGCATAACCTCATTACCTCTGTTCCCTAACAGCACTGGTCAGCTGTCACTTTCAGTCAGTGTCATAACCAACTAGCAAAGGATATTTCAGTACCAACCCATTCACGCCAAATTCTATGTACAACATTGACGCATCCCTGTGGGCAGAGGAAATGTCACTTACTAGAGAACACACGGCAAAACAATGACTTCCTTGACCACATAGTGCCACCATCAGTGTAGAAATTAAGTGACCAACAATTTTGAAGATCTCTATAAACCTATAGAAGTTAAAATTCACATGACATGTCTGCATATCACATTACTATACTACAGAGATTTGATTTTGAAAAAGGACCCAAAAACTTGAGTATTTTCAAATAGTAAACTATTTGGGTCCTTTTTCAAAATCATTGCATGTTTTGTGCGTGATCCTGTGTGCTGACCTTTTATCAGAATCTATAAAGCTTTGGTCAGTGATACAAATATTATTAATTACAGTCGTAACTAAATCACTCCTGTACATTTTTACTTTCCTAAACTATTTAATTACTCTACATCAATCAATAATGACTAAGTTAAAAACTTTGGATTCATGCCAGACTAGAGTACCTTACCATGTACATGGGAGATCCACATAGCGTCATAGCCATTATTCCATCATGTAAAAAACGTGCAAAACCAAAATCAGCTATTTTCAGACGTATCTTACTGGGTGGCGGGTTAGGCCTACCATGGTGGCACAGAAGAATGTTCTGAGGTTTTAAATCTCTATGTACAATCCCTTTAGTTTTTAAGGCTCTCATGGCAGCAGCTGTTAGTATAAAGATGGACACTTAAGTTCAAACTTACTTGCCAAAACTCGATTTATTTATTTATTTAACTAAAACAACAAAATCCTAAATCTCTTACTATTCACAAAATCAGTTAGTTATGCTTAAATAATAATAATAATCCAACAAAAGTAAGCTATGCACTAAAATTCAATCCGGCCATCAGTATACCTGATTAAATATAGTTTTTTTTACATTTCTACTTAAAAAGCTTAAAATGCATCATTTCATCAATTGGGTACCCTTACCATTAACTGTATTTCAAGAT